CAGGAGCCCTCAGCAGCTTCAGCCACCTGTGATTCCTAACCTTGCAGCTGGCCTTCTTGCTATCAGGGGTCTGGTCCTAAAGCTTCATCCTCAGGACTGTGCCGGGCCCACACGGACTCTTCAGGTCTTTTAAAAGTCATCTTTTTGATATCAGGAACAGCATCTGATCAGGGCTGACTAGGGATAAGGGACTTGACCTAGAAGATGCCAAGTCCTAAGGACAAAGATGGGGAGTACGGCTTGTTAAGGCCTGGGCTTGGGCCATGGGCTGAGCACCACAGATTGTAAGAAATGATGAAGTGACCAGAACGACTTAGAAAAAAGTTTTTGTACACAAAAGCCCACAGTGAGGCACAATAGACCTTTCATATTTTATATATGGTCTGATGAATTCTACTCGATCTCAACTGCTATAGCGTAGGAAAATATAAACACAAAGTCACACTGGGAAACATCTTCACCAAGGAGGGGTACCTGGAACTGTGTGGCATGTTTTTATTTGGACAGGAAGGCAGATGAAGCACAGGTGTTGGTTCATGGACTCCCGACGTCCACTCTGTCCCAGGCTTCTCCCAGGAGGCCCCCACCCCTGCCTGTCAGCAATTGGTTGACCCAACCTCAAGCCTCTGGTCACTTGGCTTTCTAGGAGGGTGATGAGAGACCTGTGTCATGGCTGTTTTCCTAGCCATCCAGGACAAAGTGGCAGTGCCCTGGATGTCATGGGGGACATATCATATTTCCCCAGGGTGTGTATGACTTGGGTTATTTGTAGTTGGAAGCATTTTAAGGGCCCAGAGTGCTAGACCTGACAGCCCCATCCCCCACCCTTAACCCCTATGAGTGGCCAGACACAGGTGAGCTTAGAGGTAGAGACCCTGTCCCAAGTGAGCCTAGATGTCACTGCCTGCCAGACTCAGGTGTCCCTTTTAGGGTTCTTCCCTGCTCTCTCTGCTAGGTTGAACTTATGTAGAGATGCAGTTGTCACAAGTGAGTGATGGGCTGGATCCTTCCCTGGATCCTTACTGCTTATTATTGCTTAGACTGAGCATAGATCCCTATGCATCCATATTTCAGGCCCTTTCAGTTCCAGGCAGCACTGATCCCACCGACCAAGGGACACCTTTGTGTGGAGAATAACAAAAAGAAAATGCTGTGTAAACGCCACCACCCACGTTCGTTCCCTTGCCTGACATAGCTCCCTGTCAGGGTGTGCATGTGGGGGTGGCTTGGGAGGCAGCAATAATGACACTCCCAGAAGGCCACCACTTTCTGTCCAATCAGCATTCCCCTGACATATTGCTTACCAAAGCCACTCCTGGCCAGAACTCTACCAGCGCATCTGACGGGGCCACCGCACCTGCCCTTTGCCAACTATGGAGTTGGATGGAGCTGCTGTCTCCAGAGGCCCCACGACAAGGTCACTAGCTCCTCTCACTTGAGATGTTCTGTGCCTGGGTCCCAGTGGGACAGGAAGAGTCTGAGCCCTCTCCCACAACCCCTGGAACTTGCTGTTTGGGAAGGAGGGTTGTAAAACACCACTGCCCCCATCCACTTGGAAATCCCTGCCAATGAAGGCGACCTTGAAATAGGAGCAGAATGCCTTCTGGAGAGCTGCTTCTGTCAGACATCTGTGCACAGGGACGGCTCTCAAATGGCTCCTGTATCTAAGGACATTTGTCCTGGCATCTGTGATCAGGAGATCCAGGTCAGGGCAGAGAGATGGGACCCTTCTCTGCTGAATAACCTGAACATCCTTTTCATTGAGGGCTGAGGAAGTCTCCCCCCTCCCCTCCTTCTTCTCCTAAAAATATTTTATTTTTATTTTATTGTGTTTTTGCCTGCACGTATGTATGTCTATGCATCATGTGCATGCAGTGTCCATAAAGGCCAGAAGAGGGCGTTGAATCCACTGGAACTGAAGCTGCAGACGGTTGTAAACCATCATGTGGGTGCTGGGAACTGAACCTGGACCTTTTGGAAGAGCTATAAATGCTCTTAAGTAGACAGCCATCTCTCCAACCCCTGCATTCTCCTTTACTAATGTTTCTCAAGGTGAATGGTCAGAAGGATCCCTATCTCTTTCTGTACTTTGAATCATTTAGATTTTAAAGTCCTCCAGTTTGGAGGACTGGATCTGAGCTTGAGTTATCCTCTTCCCATCCCTCCCCACACCAGGATGTTCTAGGTCACCATGCTGCTCCACTGCCAGCTATCTACAACCACAAGCAATGAGCAGGTCCGGGACAGGACAGGGATGGGTGGGGACTGGGACAAGTGGGAGAGGGAAGCCAGAAGTCAGCTCTTCTAAGTTCAAAGGAAAACAATGGCCTACAACCATGCAATGGCCGAATCTGCCCTGCTGGCTTTTAGGTTTTGGCTTTGGTATTGAGATTGAAAGAATAAAGAGACCCCAGGGACTAGAAGCATTAGGGATTTTGTTTCCTGTATCCTATTACTTAGCTAATAAATCAATTAATTTAGCTATAGACAGGGTCTCTAGCTCAGGCTGGTCTCAAACATGCAGCTATTGATCTTTCTGCATCAACCTCTGGAGTGCTGGGGATGGAAGACTAGCACTCTGCTAACTCCACTGTGCATGAGCACGCACATACGCACGCACACACACGCGCACGCACGCACACACGCACGCACACACAAACATGCACGCATGCACACACACAAACACACACACACACACACACACACACACACACACACACGATAAGCAGTCAGTTGATTCGTGTCAATAACCCTTGTTCTCTGTCAAAGGGTTTAAAATTGAAGTTTGCATGCCCGGTGCCTGATTCACCCATAGCATCTTGCAGGGTTTCGCTGTGAAGGCTACAGATGATCCCGTTGGGCGAGGGAAGGATTTCCTCTGCCTCTGCTTAGGAGTCCATTTCAACATCTGCTTCTCAGCTTCAGCCTCCCCTTTAGGTAGGCAGCCATTTTATTTATCTGGGGGACAGTGATGTTTGATTTGCAGTGAAATGGAGAGATGTAGGCTTCTCCTGCATGGAGGTGTTTTTAAAGTGTCCTTCAAATTTTAACGTAAAATATGAAGCCGCTACATAAGGAAACAGTAGAAAGTGGTAGGTGGTGGAAAAAAATAAAGCTAATACTGACCACCCATGTGGTCCAGAGATGAGGGGGAGGGATGAGACCCCTGCAGTAAGTGAAGCTACTGAATGAGTTTCCTTTACCTTGCCTGGGGAAATCTCAGGAACATGCAGTTTCCAGCATGACAGCTAGCCTAGCCCAATCCCAGCCTGCCTAGCAAACCCGGACCTGCCTGGTCCCCTCATCTTCCAGATTCAACCTACGCTGCTTGTCACTCAGCCTTCTAGGGTACTCCACTCTAGAATCACCCCTTTCTGTCACAGTGGGATTCCAGCTCCAAGTTTGGAAAAAGCTGGGTCATCAGTGATCACATGAATCATGACTTTGGTGTACAGGTGTGAGGAGGGGACCTTCAGCAAATTAGTCCATTTAATCAATGTGGCTAAGCCGGAATGTGGTCCCAAACGCAGCCACACCTCCCAATTCCTTCAGAAAAGTTAGAAACATAATTCTAAAAACTGAAATGCAACAATTTAATATTTCTTTCTATCCCATTTTCTTTTGAGATTTGTCTGTTTTAAGAGATCTCACTCTGTAGACTGGGCTGGCCTCAAAGTCATGGCAATCCTCCTGTCTCGACCTTCCTAGTGCTGAAAGTATATACACATAAGCTGCAGCCCCCATTAATCTCATCATTTTTCAGTGCTGACAACAAGAATCTACCACATCTGAAGGCTAGTCCAGCCTCAGGTGTCCTCAGGAGACAGGGAATCTTCCTAGTGGACACGGTTGTCAGGCTGCAATGCTCAGTGCCCTCACACCCAGGTCCCAAGAATGATGGACAAAACTAAGGACATAAAGTCATGGTTAGAGTCCCTTGTACAAATCATGTATGTCCCCAGAAGACTGGGTGTTCCTGTTCCTAGGATCTTCTGCCCAAGGCCCTGACACCTAGGCCTGGAGCAGAATGAGTGGAAGATCCAAGGGACAGCTGTCCACTCTGGGAGAGCAAAGCGAAAACGACGTGACATTGAGTAGACACTCCAATAGAAGGGGGCCCGAGGAAGTCCAGGGACAACAGTCTTGGCAGGACAATGACTCCAGGAGATGGGGGGACCAGGACCCTGCTAGATAGTGTGGATTCCTGTTGGCATCTAGAACTCACAGCAAGCCGGCAGGGATGTTTGCCTGCCCTTGCATGCTCGCTTGGAGAGGTGGAAGTGTCCGGCACCATTTCTGGTGGGGACCAGGGCAGACCATGGCAGGAGGCCCACCGAGGCAGGTAAGGGCACGAACTAAGCTATGTTCTAAGAAAGGAACCAAGTTTGGCAGGAAAAGACTGAGCCAGAGGTAGCAATGGAGAGAGTGGAGGGACCAGGAGGGACTCAGAGGGACCCAGAGGGAGAGAGACAGAGAGAAGTTGGGGGCTGAAGGAACCTTGTCTTTTAGTGAGGGCAAAAGTTGATCTTTGAGGTAGCCTGGGGTGTGCTCCCTGGGGTAAGTACCCATCTGCCTCCGGGGCCTCCATCTGGGCTAGGGACCAGGCTCGGTGTCCGCCCAGACCCCTTTTCTGTGTTTCATTCAGCTACAAAGCACAGAAAGAGGGTGAGGCGGCCCCGGAGTCCCAAGGTAGCATGCTGGGTGGGACCTGTACTCCAGAGGGCTCTCCGGGTGGGGTGCCACTCCTTCGAGGTGACTCGGGACGAGCTGAGGGCTCCCCTTGGCAGGCCTCCAGCTCTTCCTTGCCGTCGCCTCGGGTGTCTCTACATCGCGGCGAGTCGGGAAGCAAGGAGGGGAGCGGGCGGCGGCCGCGCCAAGAAGCGCCGGGTCACGGCAGGCTGAGGCGCCCGCCGTCCCCGCCCTCCCCCAAGCTCGCCTTCGCCTCCTCCTCCCGCCTCCCTCGCCCGCTAGCTAGCTCGCTCCTTCGCTCTCCCCGCCTTCCCTCCGCGCTCCCCGCCCTCTCCTGCGCCTCTCCTCCTCCGCCCCGCGCCCTGCGGTGCTGCAGCTGCGGGCGGCTCCAGCTGCCCCCAGATGTGGGCTGGGCAGCGCGCGGGGAACTTTCGCGCCGGCTGCGAGTGCGGGGCACCGGCTGCGGTCGGGCTGCCATGGATCCGCCGGCGGGAGCCGCTCGCCGCCTGCTCTGCCCCGCTCTGCTGCTGCTGCTGCTGCCGCCGCCGCCGCTCCTGCTGCTGCCGCCGCCACCCGCGAGCGCCCGGCTCGCCGCCGCTACCGAGCCCCCAGGTAGGTGCCAGTCGCGTCCCCACTCCCCATGTACCTCTGGCCACCCGACCCCGCCCCGCGCGCCCAGCCGCCCCCTCCTCAAGCATCGTCTGAGGCGACTTGGGCAAACTCTGCGCGCCGCGCCTGGGGCCAAGTTGGCTAACTTCGGGGCCCGGGCAGTCGCGCAGGGGGCGCACCCCTGGTGCCGTGGGATGCAGGGTGCCTCGGAGAGCTCGCCTCTCCCGGTATGCAGAGTGTGGTTCTGGGGGGACTGCCAAACCCCGCAGCGGAGAGCGCAGAACCAGCACCAGCGGGTCCGGGGGAGCCAGGGCGAGGCGGCGCCCGGGGACGCTCGGGAGGAGCCGGTGTGGAGCGCGCCGCCTGCGGGCCCTGAGCATTGCTTGGGGTGCCCCGGAGGGGTTCCCCGGAGATCGGTGGTACTCTGCTCCGCCCCTCCTGGGGCTTAGGCTCTTGGGAAGAGGGGGCTGGCAGTGGGCTGACCGGGAACTGGACCGAGGACAGGCCGCCCGTGCGAGGGCTAGCCGAGTCTTGGTTGCTCCGGAGGCCAACGTTGAGGACACTTGGGCAGCGGGGACCGCTGAAGGATCGAGGTGCATGAGCAGGGGATCAACGTGGAATGATTTCTGAGGAGCCCCATGTCCTGCCAAGGACGGTATAATTAAGGAGCGAGGGCACTCTGTTGGGGTCGACCTTTAGGGTAACTGCGAGGTGCCCGTGGAGCCTCAACTGGGAATCCGACTGGGGCAGCTCTTTAACTGGCATGGTCCTCTAAGGGGGACTATCGGCAGGCGACGTGATTCCGGAGTGGTGGTCCTGTCAATGCCCCTTCCTGGAGGTTTCCTGGTGGAATGTCCCTTCTTTGCAATTGAGGCAAGGGCTGGGGCGCCGGTTTCCGCGGCCAGGCTCTGAAGCTCCAAGGTCTACCCCTAATCTAACGCCCCTTTCCGTTGCAGGCGGGCCCCCAGGGCACGGAGCCGAGCGCATCCTGGTGGTGCCAGTGCGCACTGACGCCCAGGGCCGCTTGGTATCCCACGTGGTGTCTTCGGAGACGGCTGGGGCGGGGGTACGAGCCCGCAGAGCCGCCCCGGTCCAAACCTCAGGCTTGCCCGGAGGCGACGTGCAGGACCCTGGGGACCGCCTCTTCTACAACCTCACGGTCTTTGGCCGAGACCTGCACCTGCGGCTGCGGCCCAACGCTCGCCTCGTGGCTCCGGGGGCCACCGTGGAGTGGCAGAGTGAGACGGGTGACACCCGGGTGGAGCCCCTGCTTGGGACCTGTCTCTACGTTGGAGACGTGGCCGGCTTAGCCAAAGCCTCCTCAGTGGCGCTCAGTAACTGTGATGGGCTGGTGAGTACTCTTTACTAGTGCTCCCTTCTGTTCTGTCCCTTGCCTGGGCTCTGGAAATCCATTACTAGAAAGTCCCCTGAGAGGGCGACATAGCACGAGCTGAGGACCATCTTCTCCCCAGTGCTTAGAAAGACAGGCGCTTTGCTGCAGGGGTTGGCGGGAAGGCAAGATATTTTGATTGGTTAGAGGGGGCGGTTTATATGAACCCAACATCCAGCCCCAGTGCCATTCTGCACCCGTCTGCTTTTTGCATATAAGCATAAGTTGCCTGTGGCTCTTTGTGTGTGTGTTTTGGAATGTATGCATGCTTCTTTCTGGGTACCTGTGTGCATACCTGTGTGAACATGTGAATGTGTGTTTTCACTGGAGCACAGAGGTATCTGTGGGCTTCACAAATGTGTGCCAGAGTGACTTTTGAGCACGTGTGTTGCTGGGCTTGTGGTGGGCATGGGTGCTGGCAGTTTCCTTGCTTCTGTGTATGCACATGACAGTCTGGGGAGCAGGTGGTGATGTGGAAATGCCCAGTTAGCCCTCTCTCCCTTGGCTGACCAGGCACCAGGGATTTTTATGCCATGGCTTCCTGTTGAAGTATTGTTGGCTATTTGAAATCAGCTTTCTCCCTCTGATTTGAGCCACGGGGAGCTTCATGTGGCAATGAAGGTCCTAGTGCCCATGGGCTGTTTGACTTTGGGGGGCAGCGCCTGATGGACAGATAATGGTCACTTTTGGAGCTATCTGGGGCATCCAGTGTGACCAGAGCGCTGGGAAGCTCACCTGCCACTGGGTGTCCCCCGGGACCATGGTTGCCACACGGGGATTCTTAGAGGAAGCTTGGATGGATGCTCAGGGCAGAGGCTGACATTGATGGTACTGTCCTGCCACCCAGGGGCCTGGCACAGCAGAACCTACGGCAGTTTTCTATTTTGGATTGAATGTACAGTGGTCAGGCTGGCTGTGCCAGCCAGACATCTGAAGCCGCCCACCATGAGTTCTGCCCTAATTGCTGTTCAGGGTACTCCAGCTCTGGGCAAGTGGCCATGCTTCCAGCCCTGCCAGCCCTGAGCAATGCCCGTCCTCAAGGAGCCCAGGTTGGCCCTGCCATCTGCAGAGCCGGCAATTACCTCCCAACTCTACAACCGCTGGAGTTCTTTTTATGGACACACAGGAAACAGCACTTGTTGCTTCAGAGGAATCACTGCCTTTGGTGGGATTTACTTAGAGCCTGAGCACATCGCAAGCGACGCTTTAGGAAACAGCACTTGTTGCTTCAGAGGAATCACTGCCTTTGGTGGGATTTACTTAGAGCCTGAGCACATCGCAAGCGACGCTTACGTGTCCTTGGAGGAGTCAGGTTAATTTAGGGCAACTTTTTCCCTATTCTCTGTTGTCAGTCCCAGCCCTACAGGCAAATCACCTTTTAAGGATGCTAGTGAGTTTCCTGAGCGTGAAAGGAGACCATTGCTGGGGACTTGGGACAAGGTGGTGGGGTTAGCAGGGATCCCCTCTGGGCTAATTAATTCCCAACTAGAGCACTGGGCGGTGACGCTGTATCATTCGTTCATCTCCCCAATTCATTTGTTCGGGGAACACCTTTTACCCTGTTTATCCTTTGGGCCAGTCAGAGATGGGGCGGGTCCCATGCCTGTGTGGGCGGAAGGGCACTCAGGTGCTGTTTGATGGGGTCTCAGAGAGCTGGAGAAAGTGCAGCTTGGCAAACAGGTGGAGAGACATAATTTTGAAGGTTCTGGGTGAACTGACCTGGGAAGGACAGGCGTGCTGAGATGTTACAGGAATGGGACATCCACCGGCAGAGGTCGTCGCCGAAGCCTGAGTGGCTTCAGTGAGTCAATAACAACCTTGACATGGTGGGCCAGCATTGTTAGGTTTCCTTTTCTTTCTTCTCCTCTTATTTTGTCTTCCTTCCTTTCCCATCTTCTTTGTTCTCCTCTCCCTTCCCCTTTCCCTTCTTTTCCTGTACACACCTGTACTGGCTTTTCTACCAAATAATTTCTTAACCCTTTAAGGTCCTCTGAGCTTCTATGATGTGCTCACTCACTAAGGACCTGAGCTTTCCCACCTAGTGTCTCTCGTTGTCACAGTGACTCTGGAGAGGAGACAGCCTGGTACCTGGATTACATATGACACGCTGAGGCGTTAAGAGGTTGAGTAATTTGTTCTAGCTACACAGCCAGTGATGGTGGGGGTCTAGCCTAGGAACTGTCTGGCCTCTTTTGCCTCAGTGCTCCCAATTCTGAGGGTGTGGACATGAAACTACTGAGATGTCATAAAAGGGATAAATTGTGCCCTGCCAAGCTTCAATGGGCTGTAAGGGGATATTTAATCCATCCGGCCCGTGCCTTTCTCCATGAGGCTCCATCACTCTTCCTCGATAGCTACCTAGATACATAAAGCAGGTGAGTGAGTCAGGCTGAAGTCTTACCAAATACAGATTCTACTTCAACGCACCCAGGGTGGCGCCAAGGAGTCTGCATTTATGGCAAACTCCCTGGCCCATGTTATTCGCCTTTGAACCATTTGACAATCAAGGATCTGGAGTCCCTGGAATGCTCTGCAGGGCTGTGCCTTGAGTTGTTCTGAACAGTGGGGTTTAGAGGACAAATCGTACTTGGGAACGGTGCAGATTCACCCTAGAGGAGAGAGGAGGGAAGAGAGAGAGGGAGAGAGAAAGAGAGAGAAAGAATCTACAAAGTTCTATAGTAAAGGAGTCTTACCAACTCTGTTTCATCCAACATACTAGAAGATGCAGCCAGGAACCCCCTTTTCTTTGGAGAATGCAATTAGCACCCAAGCATATGTGTGCAGAACCATGGTGTAGACAGAAAGTGCTGCTGACAGCAGGGCAAGTGGCCCGATCGCTGCTGTCCTGAAAGACATATTTGTGTATCTGCTTGCCTGTTGCTAAAGACACATGGGCATGCTTCTCCGCTTACGGGAGGAAGGCAGCAGTAACTGATGATTATGGACATTGCTCTCCTAATCCGGTTAGTACAGGGGACTCTAATTGAATCCACTGCATCTATTAGCCTCTTAGTCACAAGTGACAGAATTCGAGTCAGTTTAAACAGAAAGAGGAACTTATTAGCTCACACGGTGACAAATCTTCAGGCATAGCTCATTAGGACCTCTGCTCCCATGTCCCTTTGCTTCCTGTGGGCTGGCTTTGCCGTCAGTTGGAGTCCCCCTGTTGGGAATCAAGGGTCTCCACCAGAACTGGGCTATTTCCTTTAGTGGATGAACTCTGGCTCGTCTCAGGTAGGATGATCTTGATGGAGCTGGGATATGGGGCTTGCAGAGTCCCATAGACCTGGGAGCAAGCAGCACGGTTCCCCGAAGCCACTTGAGATTGTTCTGGCCAGAAATGAGGACCCTGGGCTAGCCAAGAGTCGGATTCTACTGGAGTTTGGTAAAGACGCAGATGTGCCCCATGAAGGCTCGTGTCATGGGATGTACCACACACTTCCCTGCAGATACACTGAAAGCCCCTCTGCTCATCACTGGCCAGAAGCAGCTCATCATTATTTGCTGGGGGGGAGGGGTGGAGGGAGATTGGTGGTGTAAAATGTTGCCTTTCACAGTGAATGAGGGGGAAACAAAACTCCTGGGGAATATATATCACATGGCTATGACAGAATTTTCTAGTGTGTCTTGGATTACACAGCAGGCAAGCTAATTCACACCAGTTTTACATACTCAATGGAAAAAGAAGCCTGCAGATATGAAAAGTAATGATGATGAATGGCAGCTTGCAATCCTACTATGCGCAAGGCTACCTGTGAAGCATCTGCTATCACTACATATGCAGTATGTCCCTTTATCTCCTGATCTTGGAAGCCATTATCAAAACCTGTATCTGACTCCAGGTCACCCTTACTCCATTTTATTTTTCTTTATGATTGCATGCTAAAAAAATAATAATCACAGCAATAACAGAACTGCATTAAAAACATTTATAATCTTTCCTATTTTTATTTCTCAGAACCTCTTAGTCAGGAGCATTGCCCATTGTCTAGTTGAGAGGGCAGAGGGATGAGTTGACAGTCAGGGGGTCTGCTCTGAGCTGGAGCACCTCATGGGTGGGTGTCTTGACTCCTCACTCGTGAGTGAGCACAGTGGGGTCTCTAGGAGGATAGAAATGGCTCTTTCTATGCCTCCGTCCATTCAGGAAGCCCTAGGGGCCTTCTGTAGCCTGATATAAGCAGGACCACTGATAACATCCTGCTGGCTGGGCTAGGGGAAGGCTCTGACCTCCAGAGCCTTCTAGACTAGCCTGGCTTAGTTCTGGGCCTTGAGGAAGGAGGTGTCCATCCTTTCCTAGGAGCTCATTAGGGCTTGTGACAATAAGGAAGTCTCTGGTTTTTTTAGGGGGTGACCATCTTTTCTTGGGGTTTCCTGTTGGGCTACTATCCTGATCAGACCTTTGGGATTCCTAAAAGCCACAAAGAAAAGTGATGTTGCCCCAAGGACCAAGGTTACATGCTGGGCTCTGTCAACTCAAATGCTAGGTTGGGGAAACTTCTAACACTGTGAGTTGGGGTCAAGGACTGCTCGTCATGGGGGGAGGGGCTGTGCTCTTTCATTCCATCCTGTCTTGGCACTGCCTGGACAGCAGTGAGCCCTTAACAGGGATCCAAAGAGGCACCCTAGTTTCTGGATTCCTCAGGTCACAATAGAGGCTCCTGCTTGCCTCCTCCTGTGAGTGATCTAACTAGATCCCCTAGGGTGACTTCTGCCTCTTCCCTAGCCTGTCACCTTGCCTAGGACTTATTGAGCTTAAATGACAGAAACCAGCTTACATTGGACAGAATGAACAAGAGATAGTATGTGTCTAGTTATCTGAAGGCTCTGAGGAGTATTGGCTTCAGGCTTGGCTGGATCCAGGACCTCGGGTTGTTCAGTCTCTTAGCTCCTCTACTCTTGTTGTTTATTTTAGAAGGCTGCTCCCCTCTCACCCTTCATGAGGGATTCACCAGCAGCTCCAG